ATTTTTCTTAATGGACTGTGGTATTTTCTGCACTACCAAATTTGAGTGCAGGAGGGAGTATGTTGAGCTGTGTAAAATTCTTTGCGGCTTAAAATATTGCTAATGAATCATCGGTATATTGGAGGAATGAAGGGGTATGATCTTAATGATCATTCCATGGCAAACAATAAAGCTATTAGCAAGAGCTGGGCTTAAAGAGATCCCATAGCGACACCATCTAGTTGGATTTACATGGTGTCACTGAAAGTGACCTCCACCTTGCAAACCCACGACCACTTCCATTTAGAAGGACAAGGACAGCAAATACATGGAATACCATACCCTGCAAGTTCCCCTCCAAGCCACTGACCGTTCTGACGTGGAAATATAACACCGTTGCTTCACTGTCACTGGGTTAAAATCCTGGAATTCCCTCCCTAAGGGCATTGTGGGTCAACGTACAGCACATGGAGTGCAGCTCACTGCATCTTCTCAAGGGGCAACTAGGGACAGGCAAAAAATGCTAGGCCCAGCCAGCGACACCCATGTCCCATGAGTGATTTTTTTTAAAAATGCATGAGTTTTGAGTTTGATGAATGCTAATTTGGACTCCAGTGGCATCTGGAATACCATGATATTAGTGACCTAGTGGAAGCATAAATGACTTCCTTGAGTTTAGTATTGTGGGTAGCTGCTACACTGTCCAAATCCCATTAAGAAGTAAAAAAAAGTTATTGATTAAAAGTAGTAACTTATGCTTGATCAACACAGTGACCTGATTGGTTGTATCAATTTCAAACACCTGGTTTCTTACAAGATTCATAGACTTTTTACAGCATGGAAAGAGGCTGTTCAGCCTATCATGTCCACCTGGTCATCAAGCACCTATCTACTGCACTCTCATTTCTATCCTTGTATGTTATGGCACTTCAAAAGACTAGCTTAATAAATATTTATCATATCAAATCTTCAGAGAGTTTTTCAAAATTAATACCGGGGGTTGTGGGTGTCACTGGGAAGGCCATCATTTCTCGTCCACTCCCAATCTCCCTTGAGCTGAGAGGCCATTTCTGAGGGCTGTAGGGACGGCACATTTCCTTCCCTAAAGGACATTCATGAATCAAATGATTTTTTACAACAGTTGGTGATACTTGTTGTTGCCCTGTTACTAAGATTAGCTGTGTTCCAAATGTTTTTTTTCTTTCTTCACTTATGGCACGTGGCTCTGGCTGGCTGGGCCAGCATTTATTACCCATCCCTAGTTGCCCCTTGAGAAGGTGGTGGTGAGCTGCCTTCTTGAACTGCTGCAGTCCATGTCCTGTAGATAGACGCACAATGCCCTTAGGGAGGGAATTCCAGGATTTTGACCCAGTGACAGTGAAGGAACAGCGATATATTTCCAAGGCAGGATGGTGACTGGCTTGGAGAGGAACTTGGAGGTGGTGGTGTTCCCATGTATCTGCTGCCCTTGTCCTTCTAGATGGAGGTGGTTGTGAAGTTTGGAAGGTGCTGCCTGGGCATCTTTGGTGAGTTACTGCAGTGCATCTTGTAGATAGCACACACTGTTTCTACTGAGCATTCGTGGTGGAGGGAGTGAATGTTTGTGGATATGATGCTGATCAAGCGGGCTGATTTGTCCTGGATTGTGTCAAGCTTTCTGAGTGTTGTTGGAGCTGCACCCATCCAGGCAAGTTTCTTTTTATTTGAAATTAAATTTCCCCAGCTGCCATGGTGGGATTTAAATAGCTGTCTGTGGACATTTCAGAATTAGCATTGATTACAAGTCAAATGACTTTACGATTCAACCACTTTTACATCTGCCTTTTGAGTTCATATGACAGAGGAGGAGGTGCTGGAGGTCTTAAAATGCATAAATCCCTGGGACCCAATCAGGCGTTTCCCAGAACTTTGTGGGAAGCTGGGGAAGAGAATGCTGGACCTCTTGCTGAGATATTAAATCATCAACAGCCAGAAGACTGGAGGTTGGCTGATGTGGTGCCATTATTTAAGAAAGGCTGTGAGGAAATGACAGGGAGCTATAGATGTATGAACCTTGCATCAGTGATGGGTAAGTTGTTGGAGGGGATCCTGAGGGATAGGATTTACACGTATTTGGAAAGGCAAGGACTGATTAGAGGTAGTCGACATGGCTTTGTGCATGGGAAATCATGTAAATCATGTCTCACTAACTTCGTTGAGTTTTTTGAAGAAGTGACAAAGAAGATTCATGAAGGCAGAGCAGTAGATGTTGTACATATGGATGTTAGCAAGGCATTCAATGAGGTTACACATGGTAGATTGGCATACAAGGTTAGATCACAATGGGGTCCAGGGGGAGTTAGCCCATTAGATACAAAATTGGCTTGAAGATAGGAGACAAAGGTTAGTGGTAGAGGGTTGCTTTTTGAACTGAAGGCCTGTGACCAGTGGTGTGCCACAAGGATCAGTGCTGGGTTCACTGCTTATCGTCATTTATATAAATGACTTAGATGTGATTACAGGAGGTATGGTTAGTAAGTTTGCAGATGACATCAAAATTGATGGTATAGTGGACAGTGAAGAAGGCTATCTCAGAGCAGAATGGGACCTTGATCAGATGGGCTGAGGAGTGGCAAATGGAGTTTAATTTAGATAAATGTGAGGTGTTGCATTTTAGTAAGGCAACCAGGGCAGGGCTTACACAGTTAATGGCAGGGCCCTGGGGAGTGTTGCTGAGCAGAGACCTCGGCATGCAGGTGCATAGTTCCTTAAAAGTGGAGTCGCAGGAAGACAGGGTGGCGAAGGCATTTGCCATGCTTTCCTTTGTTGGTCAGTTCATTGAGTATAAGAATTCGGATGTCATGTTATGGCTATACAGGACATAGAATACTGCGTACAATTCTGATCGCCCTTCTATAGGAAGGATGTTGTTAAACTTGAGAGGGTGCGGAAAAGATTTTTTTAAAAAGTTGCCAGAATTCTGGATGGTTTGAGTTGTTGGCTGAACAGGCTGGGGCTTTTTTCCCTGGAGTGTCGGAGGCTGAGGGGTGACCATATAGAGGTTAATGAAATCATGAGGAGCATGGATAGGGTGAACAGCCACGGTATTTTTCTGAGGGTTAGGGGAGCCCTAAACTACAGGGTATAGGTTTAAGGTGAGAGGGGGCACATTTAAAAAGGACCGCAGGGGTAACTTTTTCACGCAGAGGGTGGTGTGTGTATGGAATGAGCTACCAGAGGAAATGGTGGAGGCTGGTACAATTACAACATTTAAAAGGTATCTGGGTGTGTATATGAATAGGAAGGGTTTAGAGGGATATGGGCCAAATGCTGGCAAATGGGACTAGATTAATTTAGGATATCTGATCGGCATGGATGAGTTGGACTGAGCAGTCTGTTTTGTACTGAATGACTCTATTATGCAGTTTGCAGTTTGTTATTTTGCAAAAGCAAGGTACTACATGGTAATCTTCATCAGGTTAAACTGAATGTGCAGAGGAACAGCCATTTAGGCTTTGTCAGTGTTTACGCTACGCACAAGGACCCCTCGCCCACCTAACTTTGACTCACCCATCAGCATTCACTTCTATCCCTAACTCTCTCCTGTATATTCATCTTATTTTTAAAGCCACCCACCTTCGTCATCTCAGCTATTTGATTTCATAGTCCATATCCTTTACGGGAAAGAGCTCAATTCTGTGTGGAGTCATAAAGTCTCTACAGAATAGAAAGAGGCTATTCAGCCCATCACATCCAAATTGACTGTCAGTCCCATTTTTCTAATTTGTTCACAAAGCAGGGCTGTTGTTGGCTAGGTCACCATCTATCACCCATCTATCTATCTATCACCCATCCGTAGTAGGTGGTGGTGCTGCCCTGAAACCATGTAGGGACACCCACAGTGCCGTTAGGGAGGGAATTCCAGGATGTTGACCCAGCAACGCTGAAGGAACAGTCATACATTTCCAGGTCAGGACGGTGAATGGCTTGGAGGGGAACTTGCAGGGGGTGGTCTTCCCATGCATCTGCTGCCCTTGTCCTTCTAGATGGAAGTGGTCGTGGGTTTAGAGAGTCCTGTCACAGCTCAGGGTGTCATTGCAGTGCACCTTACAGATGGTACACATGGTACACGTCACCAGTCTGTCAGTCCTTTTTGCTTCTCACCTTCCTCATTCTTCTCTCGAGCAAATTTGCTTCGCTCAAGAGACCATCTATTTTTCTTTAAAAGTCATCACTCAGTATAAACCCCTCGGTTAGTTTGGATAGTTATGAGTTTAAGTCAGTCTTTAAACTTGAGTATGTATTCGCTCCTGGTGCAGTCCCGAGGGTATGCTGCACTGGTTGGAGGTGCCGTTTTAGGGTCCGTCTTACTGAGGCACCCGCTCATTATCTGTCTTCTAATTGTGAGATCTTGCTGTGCACACGTTGGCTGCCACATTCCCTATGACAGTGACTGTGTTTCAGAAGTTCTTCATTGACTGTGGAAAGGTTTGAGAGATTGTGAAAGGTGCCATATAAATGCTGTTTTTATTTTATCAATATTCTTGGATGTTATTTTTAATTGACCCAGTTTTCTGTTTTGCAAAATAAATACTGCCAAAAGTGCAGTCAGCTTGAGTTTGACAGAAAGTTGCTAAAATTTGATGTGGCAGCCGACAACAACTCAAGTACGTGAATTTGTGTTTCCCGTTTTAAAACTTACCCCATCTCGAGTTAACCGTCTGCTTAATGAGATTAAACCTGCTCAGGTATACTATTCAGAGTTCCCACAATTCTGAAGAAGTAAATGTGTCAATGGCTGTAGTCAGGCTTTGTAAAAAAAAAAAAATCTTTTTTAATATGTTCTCCAATGCTAAACAATAGTTTTAGGCAGTTTATGAGTAATTTTTCACAGTTCACCTCATGAGTTTATTCTTGCCTTCTATTTAAATGTCACTTCCAGTGATGTGTTCATCATGCGTTACAGACTCATTGTTGTTGTTTGTGGGTTCTGTCTTAGTCAATGGGTTTTTGCTGACTAATATTTGACCATTTCTTTACAGGACAGCTGGCACAACATGTCAAGGCCCTTGCTGACCAGGTCTCCTGTATCTCCGCTGACTAATCAGGGAATCCCAACACCAGCACAGCTCACCAAATCCAATGCCCCAGTGCACATTGATGTGGGAGGTCACATGTATACCAGTAGTTTGGCAACGCTAACTAAGTTTTCTGACTCAAGGTAAATCTGGTGACATGACGTAAACTTATTTCTAAGATCAGCCAATCAGTAGGACAGAGCCAGAGTATCGCTGAGGAGATTTGCTCGACCAATACCTGGGATTCAAGGGGAGCGAGAATGTTATTTTATGAGGAAAAGTTGAGGTAACTAAGAGGTAACTATCAGGATTTTGCAGATTTTTAAAAAATTCACTCTTGGGATGTGCTGGTTGCTGGCTGGCCAGCATTTATTGCCCAAAACTATTTACCCAGAGGGCAGTCACATTGCTGTAGGTCTGGAGTCACATAGTACATAGATCAGAACAGCACAGGAACAGGCCCTTTGGACCATGATGTTGTACTGAACATAACGCCGAAGGAAACTAATCCTTTCTGACTGCCCATGGTCCATATCCCTCCATTCCTTGCTTATTCATGTGCCTATCTAAAAGTCCCTTAAACACCCCTATCATACATGCCACCACCACGATCCCTGGAAGCATGTTCCCGGCACCCAACACACACTCTGCCAAAAAACTTGCCCCTCACATCTTCTGTGAAACTTGTAGACCAGCCAGATAAGGACAGCAGATTGCATTCCCGAAAGGACATTAATGAACCAGATGGGTTTTTAACAACAAGTTGTCACATTAGGTCATCTCTTTATTCCAGATTTTGTTTCGGTTGAATTCAGGTTTCACAGTAAGATTCGTACCCATGTTCCCAGAACATTGACCTGAAGTTCTGGATTACTAGCCAAATAATATTACCACTATTCCTGTGAGACACTCTAGAACCAGGGGTCACTGTTTAAAGATAAGGTGTCGTCCATTTAAGACAGATGAGGATTTTTTTCTCTTAGAGGATCATGAACTTTGGGGCTATCTTACTCCAAAGACAGTGGAAAAATTTTTGAAGCAAAGTTGGATGGATGGACACAAAGGAGTGAAACGTTATCATGGGCAGGTGGGAATGTAGTACTAAGGTGACAATTAGATCAGTCACGATTATATTAAATAACAGGGCATTCAGCCCTGCTAGACTGATCTAACATGTTCCTAATCCGCAAATTTAAATCCATTTAACTATTAAATGGGATCATGGCCGATCTGTGACCAAACTCCATTGTCTCATATGCCTTTGGTTAACAAAACTCCTTTCAATTTCATAAATGGTCACTTGTGGGAGAGGGTTATAACTGTCTGCCCTTCTTTGTCCCTGAAGTGTTTCCTAATTTCACTGCTGAAAGGTCTGGCTCCAATTGTTAGACTGTGACCCCCAATTCTGGACTCCCGTCAGTCAGTAGAAATAGATTCTTTTTGTCTACACTATCAGTTCCACTCGTAAATTTTGAACAAATCATCCTGTGACCTTCTAAGTTCTAGGAACTACAACTCTAACGTGTGTGATAGTGCTTTGTAATTTTACCCTTCGATTCTCAGTAACATTTTGGTAAATTTAAGATTCTCTCTGTCTTTCTTTCTCTCTCTCTCTCCCTCCTTGTCCCTCTCTGTCGCTGCTTGTTCCTCCACCTCTCTCTCCCCCTCCCTTTCTCCCCCTCCCTCTCCCTCTCTCTCTCAGGCAAAAGTATCCATACTATGTGATTGTGACACCGAGGACCATTTTCCTCTCCTCACTGAGCGTGGGATTTACAACAACAGCTTCTTGCATTTGTAGAGCTCTGTTAACATTACAAATCATTGCAAGGCATATCATGGGAGCAATTATTATACAGCACCACTGATGAGGAAAGGTTGAGCAGGTTGGGCTGCTTTTTTGAACCACTGCAGTCCACGAGCTGTAGGTAGACCGACAATGCCCTTAGGAAGGGAATTCCAGGATTGTGACCCACTGACACTGAAGGAACGGGGATATATTTCCAAGTCAGGATGGTCAGTGGCTTGGAGGGGAACTTGCAGGTGGTGGTGCTTCCATGTATCTGCTGCTCTTGTCCTTCTAGATGGAAGTGGTTGTGGGTTGGAAGGTGATGTCAAAGGATCTTTGATCAATTTCTGCAGTGCGTCTTGTAAATAGTACACACTGTTGCTACTGAGCTTCGGTGTTGGAGGGAGTGAATATTTGTGGATGTAGTGCACATCCACCGGGCTGCTTTGTCCTGGATGGTGTCAAGCCTCTTGAGTGTTGTTGGAGCTGCACCCATCCAGGGCAAGTGGTCTTGTCTCAGTGGGTAACACTGTACCCCTGAGTTAGGAGGTCACGGGTTCAAGAGACATTTTCTAGATGATCACAGGGCTGGAACTGAGTGAAAATTGCACTGTCAAGGGGTGGCTAAGATTCTAAATCAAGGCCCTGAGTGCACGATCTGCTGCATGTAAAGATTCTGTGGTACTATCCCGTGTTTTGACTGAGAAGTGTATAATGTCTCTAATCCCAATCATTTCAGGTCACAACGCAAAATAATACTTTTCCCAGTTTCCCATGTGACCAATTCAACACCTCAGCTCAATCATGTTTGAAAAAAGCAGCAATTTGCTTGACTATTAATTGTCTCTGGGCAATTAGGGACGGGCAATAAGTGATGGCCCAGCCTGTGACACCTCCATTCTGTGAATGAATTTTAAAAAAGCGATATCTTGATCAGATTTCTTAATAAACACAATCACTGGTTTGTTATCAACAAAGATGCCATAAAAGATAAAGTTGCCATAGTCCTACCAGACCCAATGGCTGCTGTCTCATTAAAGAGAGAGAGACAACTGTAGTTGGTTTAACCCGAGAGTTAGCACACTTCAGCTGAGTGGAGACATTGAGAAGGAGAATCCTTTATGTTAATCTCAGCCAGCATGGGAATTGAACCCCACACTGTTGGCATTTCACTGTAGCCGGGTCTAGCCAACTGAACCAACTGATCCCCGATGAAGTTCCCATAATTGGTGAACCAGACATAATCAGTGAAAGGTAAAGCATGAATGCTTATCCCCAAAACATGCTTACACATTTCAGGAGAAGAGAATCAAATCAGACTTCTGAAAAGATTGACTTTCTGAAAAAAAAACACTTTGGTCATTGATAACAAGGTGCAGGGCTGGATGAACACAGCAGGCCAAGCAGCATCATAGGAGCAGAAAGGTCATTTGGTTACTCTTGAAGTCAAAAAATAAACCATGAGATGTTTCTTCAATCACTGTGTCAAAAAAACAAATAGGTCTTACCCTGAACTCAACAAGAGAGTTTTTTCAGAAATGAAAGAGATCAGCTGGGCAGCTTTCTTATGGCGAGCTTTCCTCCAACTCAGCTTATCCTTAAGAGGCTGCCTTCCAACTCAACCAGATAAGACAAGACCCTCTCCAAGCCAATCCTGTTCAAGAAGGCAAGCAGTTCTTGACAATCAAGTGATTTCTCGGAAGCCCTGTTTCAAAAAAAGAAGTCTCCGTGAATTTTCAGTGATCTCTTTTAAATAAATCATTTCGGGTAATTTGACATATCTCACAAAATTTGACATAAAATCCTTTTTCCATGTTTGTGGATGTGGTGCCAATCAAGTTGGCTACTTTGTCCTGGATGGTGTCAAGCTTCGAGTATCATTGGGGCTGCACCCATCCAGGCAAGTGGGGAGTATTCCATCACGCTCCTGACTTGTCCCTTGTAGATGGTGGACTTTGTAGGCTTTGGGAGTCAGGAGGTGAGTTACTCGCCACAGTAGTCCTAGCCTTTGACCTGCTGTTGTAGCCACTGTAGTTATATCGATGGCCTAGTCCAATTTCTGGTCACTGATAACCCCCAGGATGTTGATAATGCAGAATTCTGTGATGACATTGAGATAAAGGATCAGCCATGATCATGTTGAATGGTGTGGCAGGATCAAACGGCTGAATGGACTGCTCCTGCTCCTAGTTTCTGTTAGGTGGTGCCTCCAGCAATTTGTCGTTGTCAGTCTAAAGATTGGTCTTTGCACATCATCCAGATGTCTGACACTTGTGTTTTCTGTTGCCTTGTTGCAGAATTGGTCGCCTCTTCGATGGAACGGAGCCCATTGTCCTGGACAGCCTGAAGCAGCATTACTTCATCGACAGAGACGGTCAGATGTTTCGTTACATTTTAAACTTCCTGCGCACTTCAAAGCTCCTTATTCCTGACGATTTCAAAGTAAGTTGACTAGCTTTACAGCTTCCGCAAGTGTATAAAGATGCAACATGGCAGTAAAAAGCTCCCAACAAATTCCAGGGAGTAACGGCACTGACACTAAACTCTTACTGGAGCTGTCACCTGTTGGGTGAGACGTGAATCCACGGCCCTATCTGAATGCTCAGGCAGATACCAAAAGATGATACAGGGCCACATAGCAAGTTAATTAGCAAATTCAAAATGTTTGAGATTGATGGATCCTTGGCAGTGTGGATTAGAAGTTGGTTAAAGATAGGAAAAACAGGGTAGGCATAGATGGCTATTTCTCAGACTGGAGACAAGTTGAAAGTGGTGTTCCCCAGAGATCAGTGTTGGGATCCTTGGTTTATTTTTGATTTACAGAAATGATTTAGAGATGGGCGTTGAGGGAAATAAATCTCTAAACTTGCAGATGACATTAAGCTAGGGAGAATAGTAAATTGTGAGGATGACACTGAGCGACTTCAAAGGGACATTGAAAAGTTGGCCAAATGGGGAGATACCTGGCAGATGAATTTCAATGCAGAGAAATGTGAGGTAAAGCATTTTAATAGAAGAAACATGGAGTGACAATACAGGCTCAATGGTATGCCTTTGAGGGGAGTACAGGAGCAGGGGGACCTTGAGGTTCATGTACATGATTCTCTGAAGGTGGCCAGGCAAGTTGAAACAGTTATTAAGAAGGTTTATAGGATGGTTGGGTTTATAAGTAAAGGCATAGAGTATAAAAGCAAGGAAGTGATACTACACCACTACAAATGATTGGTCAGACATATTTATTGTGTTCAATTCTGGGTGAAATAACTCCACAGAGGCCGGTATCCCATCCCTTTATTTACATGGGGAGAGTCCTTGACACTGATCCAGCTCCCTCAGAGCCAACTCTGAGTGAACAGAATCTCTGGCATAGATAGTAGGAACTGCAGATGCTGGAGAATTTGAGATAACAAGGTGCAGAGCTGGATGAACACAGCGGGTCAAGCAGCATCAGAGGAGCAGGAAAGCTGACGTTTCGGGCCTAGACCCTTCTTCAGAAATGGGGGAGGGGAAGGGCGTTCTTAAATAAGTAGGGAGAGAGGGGGAGGCGGATAGAAAATGGATAGAGGAGAGGATAGGTGGAGAGGAGACAGACAGATCAAAGAGACGGGGATGGAGCCAGTAAAGGTGAGTGTAGGTGGGGAGTTAGGGAGGGGATAGGTCAGTCCAGGGAGGACAAACAGGTCAAGGGGGCGGGATGAGGCTAGTAGGTAGGAGATGGGAGTGGGGCTTGAGGTGGGAGGAGGGGATAGGTGGGAGGAAGGACAGGTTAGGGAGGCGGGGACAAGCTGGGCTGGTTTTGGGATGCGGTAGGGGGAGGGGAGATTTTGAAGCTTGTGAAGTCCACATTGTTACCATTGGGCTGCAGGGTTCCCAAGCAAAATATGAGGTGCTGTTCCTGCAACCTTCGGGTGGCATCGTTGTGGCACTGCAGGAGGCCCAGGATGGATGTGGTGCGTGAGGAATGGGAGGGGGAGTTGAAATGGTTTGCGACTGGGAGGTGGAGTTGTTTAACATCAAGCAGATGTTCACCTGCACATCTGCCAATGTGGTATACTGTATCCGCTGTTCCCGTTGTGGCCTCCTCTACATCAGGGAAACCAAGCGGAGGCTTGGGGACCGCTTTGCAGAACACCTATGCTCGGTTCACACTAAACAACTGCACCTCCCAGTCACGAACCATTTCAACTCCCCCTCCCATTCCTCAGACGACATGTCCATCCTGGGCCTCCTGCAGTGCCACAACGATGCCACCTGAAGGTTGCAGGAACAGCAACTCATATTCGGCTTGGGAACCCTGCAGCCCAATGGTATCAATGTGGATTTCACAAGCTTCAAAATCCCCCCTCCCCCTACCGCATCCCAAAACCAGCCCAGCTTGTCCCCGCTTCCCTAACCTGTCCTTCCTCCCACCTATCCCCTCCTCCCACCTCAAGCTCCACCCCCATCTCCTGCCTAGTAACCTCATCCCGCCCCCTTGACCTGTCCATCCTCCCTGGACTGACCTATCTCCTCCCTACCTCCCCACCTACACTCCCCTTTACTGGCTCCATCCCCGCCTCTTTGACCTGTCTGTCTCCTCTCCACCTATCTTCTCCTCTATCCATCTCCTGTCCGCCTCCCCCCTCTCCCTATTTATTTCAGAACCCCCTTCCCCTCCCCCATTTCTGAAGAAGGGTCTAGGCCCGAAACGTCAGCTTTCCTGCTCCTCTGATGCTGCTTGACCTGCTGTGTTCATCCAGCTCCACACCTTGTTATCTCAGAACCTCTGGCATTCCTGTTTATATCCGTCGGCCAAGGCTTCCTGACTGGACCAGATTAACGGCCCCAATCAGGGACCTCGTATTCTATGAGGTCTACCTGGCTGACCTTGTTACAATCACTACATTGGGTACCTTATTTAAGGAAGGATGTTAAAGCACTGGAGAGAATGCAAAGGAGATTTACTCGACAGATTCCAAGAACTAAGGATTTTAGAAACAAGGAAAGATTATAGAGATTGGTTTTTTCTCCTTGGAGCAGAGAAGATTAAGAGATGATCTTATGGCGGGACACAATTTCAAGACTGTCAACTAGAAAGCTCGGAGTGAGATGAGGAGGAAATTCTTTACTCAGAGAGTTGTTAGGATTTGGAATGCGCTTCCTGGGAGAGTGGTGGAGGCAGATTCTTTCGGAGGTTTCTAAAGAGAGCTGGATATATGTCCAAAAGAGATGAAGTTAAAGGGCTATGGAGATCGGGCTAGGGAGTGGAAATAGCTGGTTAGCTGTTTCAGGAGCCAGTACAGACATGATGGGTTGAATGGCCTCTTTCAGTATTGTAAAATTCTACGGTCACATGTAGGAACAGAAATAGACCATTCAGCCCATCGAGACTGTTGCACCATTCAGTGAGATCATGGCTAATCTGATAATCCTCAACTCCACTAACGCTCGAGTCCCTTACTGATTAAAAATCTCTCTCTCAGTCTCTTAAATATGTTCAATGACAGCTTTCTGCGGTAAGGAATTCCACAGATTCACTTACCTTTGAGAAGAAATTCCTCCTCATCCCTCTGGAAAAGATTCCATGGCACTATTTTGAGGATGAACAGAGGAGATGCCATACCAGAAATTTATCAACATCGCAAAAACAAATCATCTGGACATTCTCACCTTGTTTGTGGGAGCTTGCTGTGTGCCATTCGTTTGGCCAGTTTCCTGTATTACAACAGTGACTACCCTTCAACACTACTTAAGTGTGACTATCTGTGTGGGGTTTGCACATTCTCCCTGTGTCTGCATGGGTTTCCTCCCACAGTCCAAAGATGTGCAGGTTAGGTGCATTGGCCATGCTAAATTGCCCATAGTGTGTAGGGTGGGAAATGCAGGGTCAGGGTAGCGGGTGGGTCTTGGTGGGACACTCTTCGGAGTGTTGGTGTGGACTCAATGGGCCGAATGGCATGCTTCCATACTGTAGAGATTCTATGATTAAGTGGCTGCAGACCACTTTAGGAAGTCATTGGTCACAAAAACACTTTATAAATGCAAGTCTTTCTCTTTTCTCACTCTCAATTATCCACGTACCTCTAGTCATTTGGGACTAATGTTGTCACGGAGTGTGCCTTGAAAAGAAGGGGCTCTTGTGGCACAGTGGTAGTGTCCCTACTCCTGGACTGGAAGGCCTGGGTTCAAGTCCCACTTGCTCCAGAGGTGTGCAATAACATCTCTGAACAGGTTGATTAGAAAAGTAGGTTAAATAAAAAAAAACTTCAAAACCAAGGGCTCTTGGGGCACAGTGGTAATGTCGCTACTCTGGGCTGGAAGACCTGGGTTCAAGTCCCAGCTCCTGCAAAGATATGTCATAGCAAATCTGAACAGTTTTATTGTAAATATCTGACTTAAAGAAACCTGGAATTGAAAGCTAGTGATGGTTGTTGTAAAGACTGTTGTAAAAACCTGTCTGGTTCCTTCAGGGAAGGAAATCTGCTGCCCTTACCTGGCCTGGCCTGGCCTGTGTGTGACTCCAGTCCCACAGCAATGTGGCTGGCTCTCAACTATCCTCTGAAATGGCCTTTGCAAGCCACTCGATGGGCAATTCAACGTGGGCAATAAATTCAAGGGCAGTTAGGGTTAGGAAGAAGAATTGATGGTTGTGACAGTGATGCTCCACATCCCATGAAAGACTAAAACAAATAACAAACTGTAACAACCAGTGCAAGTGTTTTCTGTGGTGTCTGTGAGGCTCTCTGTCCATGTAGTGCAAACACCTGAGAATGTCTTTGTAAAGTGCCTTTTGTTGCTTGTGTTATTGTTGCATTCAGGATTACAGCTTGTTATTTGAAGAGGCCAAGTATTTCCAGTTGCAGCCCATGCTGATCGAGCTGGAGCGCTGGAAACAGGACAGGGAGTTAGGCCGGGTCTCGCGGCCGTGCGAGTGTCTGGTGGTGCGGGTGGCCCCTGACTTAGGGGAGCGGATCACTCTGAGCGGAGACAAGGCTCTGATCGAAGAAGTGTTCCCGGAAATTGGGGATGTGATGTGTAACTCAATCAACGCTGGCTGGAATCATGACTCAACGCATGTCATCCGATTCCCCCTCAATGGCTACTGCCACCTCAACTCTGTTCAGGTAATAGGCTAAAGTCTTCACACACATTTCTCTCTTTCTGTCTGTCTGCCTGTTTCTCACTGTCTCTGTTCTTTCTCTGTCTCCCTCTCTCACACTGTCTGTCTATTTCTCTCTCTCTCTCTCTTACTGTGTGTCCCTCTCTCTCTCTCTGTGTGTCTCCTCACACACTGTCTGTCACTGTCTCTCCCTTTCTCTCTGTCTCCGTCTTTCTATCTTTCTCTCTGCTTCTCTCCACCTCTCTATTTCTCTCTCACTGTCTCTCACTCTCTCTCTCTCTGTCTCTCTTTTTCTCCCTCTCTCTCTCTCTCTCTCTCTCTCTCTCTCCGTCTTAAATCGCAGTAAGTCCTATACCCACCCCCATGCTCACTGACATACCCTGGCTCCCAGTCAAGTCAGTCCTTCATTTTATAATCTCATCTATCTATTGCAATCCCACTGTGGTATTGCCCCCTCCATCTCTGCATTACTTTCTCCTTTGACCAAGTTTTTCGTTGTCTGCTCTAGTATTTCCTCATGTGACTCACTGTGTTACATTGTTTTATAAAGGGGAAATGGTAGTGTAGTGATATTGACAATAGACTAGTAATCCAGAGACCCAGGCTAATGGCCTGTTGTCATGGGTTCAAATCCTACCATTGTGGATGGAGAAATTTGAATCAATGAATATCTAGGATAATTAAAAAAAAAACACTGGCCTAATAGTGTCTACTGGGTCATCAATATCCTTTTGGGAAGGACATCTACCATCCTTGCCCGGCCTGGCCTACACGTGAAGCTGGAGGACCCAACCGTTGACTTTCCTGCTCCTCTGACACTGCCTGACCTGCTGTGTTCCTCCAGCTCCCCACTGTATTGACTCTGACTCCTGCATCTGCAGCTTTTGCTATCTCCTTTGCCTACATGTGACTCCGGGGAGAGGTTTGGAATTCTGTTCCACAAACAGCAGTTGATGCTCAAACAGTTATTAATTTTAAACCTGCAGTGCATAAATGTTTGCTAAATAAAGGCATTGAGGGATATGGACCAAAGGCAGGTGTATGGAGTCATTCCACAGATCTCATTGAATGGTGGAACATTTGAGGGGCTGAATGGCCTATTCCTGTTCCTATATTCCTTTGTTCCCAAGCAATTAGATATTGGTTGTAAATGCTGGGCTAACCATTGCAAATCTAAATCCTGGAACTCCTTCCATCATGGTCTACCAACAGTACCTGAACTGCAGCAGTTCGGGAAGGCAACTCACCTAGGGATAGGTAGGAAATCCTTTATTGCCAGTGACAGATTCCTTGAACAAGTTAAAAGGATGGGTTTCAGCTGGTGGAATTAGCCCCAATCTTTTTAATCCAATTAATTGCACTTCTCAATCTTCCCCCATATCTCTGTAATTTGTTTTACCACTGAATATTTATCTAGTTCCTATTTGAAGGTTACTATGGAATCTGTCCTATTAGGCAGTGTGCTTCAGAAATTGTACAATGACCGTCTACTGGCACCAGGAGCAGAATGCTAAACAGATTCAGGAGAATGTTCAGTGGCTAATTAAGAGGTTTTGGTCAAAGTATTTCTGTATTAGTTGACGTTTATAACATTTGTTATTAATCTCTGGGGAATGCATTCAAAGTCTTGTGCGGTTTCTCAAAAGGGAAATTTCTGTGTCTGTGTTTCAGCAAACAGCAGCTTGGATTCATTATATTCTGTGATCTGCCAAAAGCCAGTTAGAGATGACAGCTTTCCCAAACACGAAATGAATAATAGAAATTGCTGAAATGCAAGCCAATCTTTTTGGGTGGCTCCAAAACTGCAGTGGTGGTCTTGGCGAGTGGAAGCTGGCTTTGAGATCCACACTGCTGCCCTTGGTGAGATGAGGACATTAAATTTTTATGTGTGCTTGTATGCTTCACATTGTCTGATTTCCTTTGCTAGGTGCTGGAACGATTGCAGCTGAAGGGATTTGAAATTGTTGGATCCAGCGGCGGTGGAGTTGACTCCTCCCAGTTTAGTGAATATGTACTAAGGCGGGAAATCAAACGGCTATCCCGTGTACCACCTGTCATTCGAATAAAACAGGAACCGCTGGACTGAACTGACACAATCATCGCGAGAGAGAGAGCAAAAATTCAAAAAAAATTTTAAAAAATAAATAGATTTTAAAAAAAACACACTATCCATGCGTTTGGTTAAAGCTGTTGACTGTTGGTTCCCAAGCTGAATGTTGGGTGATGCACCATTTTCCGAGACTGCGTCTATATCCACATTTGAAACTTGCGGGATGTCCATGAAATGTTTATCGGTTTGTTGGAAGAGGGTTTTTTTTATTGTTCCTGAAAGCGACTAGGCAACGTTTCTCTCCCCGACTCCCTCCACCACCACCCCCCCCAAAAAAAAAGATCAAAAGCTTTTGCATTGATGCAATTCATTCCCAAAATTTTTCCTTTTTGGATTTCTTCTTTTGTTGTTTAGGTAACATCGGATTATGGTTGCTGTGTGTTCACGCAGAGAGGAAAACTGTGTAACTCGATTTTGGAACACAGTAGCCCATGTGAAGCTGGAAGGGAAAATTGGCTCATAGATTTTTCATTGACTGCAGGGGATGGTGGACTCTCAGGTTTATAGGTCACCTGGGGAGGTACAAGTGAGCAGCAGAAGTTGAGTCCATGATCCGATCAGCCTTGATCATAGTAAGTAGTGGGCCTTCCTCAAAAGGCTGAATGGCCTCTTCCTGCTCGTATTTCTGGTATGCTTGTTGGTTTTATCTCCACAGCTGTACTAATAATGCTTTCTGTGCCTGAGGGAAACATTTGGGGTAAATGTCATCTTGAGAAAATATCACCGATTTCATCCAGCTCTCAGATTTAACCGCTCGAGGCCAGTTGCTGCATTCTCCTTGCTAATAGCAGCTCCCAGTTTATTGAATTTTACTGTGTGGAAAATAAGTTTTTTTAAAATTGTTATCAGGTTGCATTGTTTTCGTCAAATACCTGTTGTCTTTTGCTGTTGGTGCATCTAGATCTTTATTAGAGCATTGTAGAGAGCTCGATTTAACATTCTGCTATTTCCTGATAGAGGAGCATAAGACTTGGTGATGGGATGCCAGTCTCTGTGCAGTTATATTAAAAAAAAAAGAGGGATAGGCTATGTTGACACACAAGAGCATGATCTTAACTTAGCATACCCATTGATGGAATCACGGGGGTGGTGAGGCACCACTGATGTCATGACCCGCACCATTTCATTCTCACCAGAGCTTAACAAAAAAACTCGTGTCAAAAATCATGGAAATTCAGTCTTCCATCCACTCCCATGGGTCTTCCACCCAGGTCTTTGTCTTTTACTCTGCCCTGAAGGACTTTGTGCTCATGTAGCTTGGCTGATTGTACTGAAGAATTGGCTCACTTGGAAACAAAGAATTGCAATTCCAATAACGCCTGAGCCCTTCAGTGTTTCATATCGATATTCAACATTGCTAAAAGGGGTCAGAAACTGAAGAAACATTAGGATGCAAGAAACAGATTTCAGGACAAACTTGACTAGGCAGGTATAATTTAGGCAAACATGCTGTCATTGATATGGAACTCCTGCACAAGTTGCTTAAGTTCATGAGTTTGAAGAACATTCATTCAGATGTGAATTATGGAAATGCCCAACTGGTAAACAGCCAGTATCCTCCTCTTTTGCTAGATAAATTGATGCCCCTTTCCTCAAGTCTCTTCTGTCCTAGTCCAGAACAGTGCAACTCAGTCTTCTTTCAACAGTGTTGAAGTTCTGTATTGTCAAGCAATGATTGGATTTCATTTGGATTTATTGAATATAACAGGCTTTAATTTTCCCAGCCATCAGATGCCTCAAAACACTTAAGAGCCAATGAAATAGTTTTATAGTGAAGCCACTGTTGGACTGAAAGATAGTGCAATGGCGAACTTATGCACAGCAAGCTCACACAAAGAATAACATAATAATGAGTGGATAATCAGTGATGTTCATTGAGGGTTGAATGTTGATCAGGAGAACCATTTGCAATTTCCTCTCCAGTGTGTAACTAAGGTTTTTGAGCATATTATGGGAAGACAATGGCCTAGCAGTATTATTAGATAATTAATCCAGAGACCCAGGTGATGTCCTAGGGGCTCCAGGTTCGAATCCCACTGTGGCAGATGGTGGAATTTGAATTCAATGTAAATCTGAGGGGGAGGGAAAGCTAACCCAATATCGACCATGTAACTATTGTCAATTGTCATGAAAACCCATCTGGTTCACTGTTTCCTTTAGGGAAGGAGACTGCTGTCCTTAACTGATCTGTAGGACCATTGTGATAGCACTGGAGAGGGAACAGGGGGAGATTCACCAGGAGGTTGCCTGGGCTGGAGAGTTTCAGTTATGAAGAGAGACGGGATAGATTGGGGTTGTTTTCCTCAGAGCAGGGGGGACTGACAGGGTCATGATTAAGATGTAATAAATTAAAGGGGCATAGACAGAGTAGACAGGAAGAAACTTTTCACCTTGATGGAGGGATCATAGATTTAAAGTAAGGACCAGGAGGTTTAGAGGGGATATGAGGAAAATCTTTTTCACCCAGAGGGTGGTGGGAATCTGGGACTCCCTGCCTGTAAGGGTGGGAGAGGCAGGAACCCTCGAAACATTGAAAGACTATTTAGATGTGCACCCGTGATACCAAGCATACAAGGCTGTGGGCCAAGTGCTGGAAAATAGGATTACAATATTAGCTGGCTGTTGACCAGCACAAAGTCCATGCGTCAAAGGGCCTTTTTCTGTGCAGTCGATGTCAGTGACGTGTGACTCTAGACCCACTCAAATGTGGTTGACTCTTAACTGTCTGCTGGGCAATAGATCATGGCATAACTAGCACTGCTTACATCCCGTGAGTGAATATTTGAACAAGGAAATAGCTTTTCAATTTCTTTTAATTTCCATTGCCTTGGTGGGAAAGCCTGCTAGAATAATTTTCCATTTGGCTTAAATAGTGCATTGTAGAAGGAGGCTTTATAGCAATCATAGACATTTACAGCACAGAAGGAGGCCATTTGGCCCGTCATATCTGCACCAGTCCACAAAGATCTGACTAATTCCATTTTCCATTTCTTGGCCCATAGCCCTTGGGGCTATGGTAATGCAAGTGAATATTTAAATACTACTTTAATATTACAAGAGTTTCTGATTCAACCACATTTTCAGGCAGTAGTTCCAGGCACCCACCATCCTCTACATGAAAATAATTATCTCAGCTCTCCACTTGGCCTTCTGCCTCTTGTATTTGCCTCCTGTCTGTTGGAAAAGTGCCTTCCTATCTATGATCCTCAGTAGTACACACTTCTGTCTGCTTCCTTCTCAACCATCGCTGGTCCAAGGAAAACAACCCCAGTCTATCCTCAAACTATAGCCCAGGCTGCATCCTGGTGAATCTGTTCTGCACCCCCTTTAATGCAATCACATCCCTCTTGTAATGTGGTAATCAGAACCGCACGCAGTACTCCAGGGGTGGCCTAACCAGTGTTTTATACAGTTCTGGCATAACCTTCTCACTCTTGTATTCTGTTCCTCAGCTAATAAAGATAAGTATCCCACACACCTTCTTAACCACCTTCTCTACCTGCCCTCCTATCTTCAGGGATCTGCTGATGTGCACACCTGTGATGGTAATACTTTTCAGGACCACATCAGGGGTGGGTAGGGATTCTGATAGAATTTACACGCATTTGGAGAGGCAAGGACTGATTAGAGATAGTCAGCATGGCTTTGTGTGTGGGAAATCAGATCTCACAATCCTGATTGAGTTTATTTGAGGACATTGCCAAAAAGATTTATGAGGGCAGAGTAGTAAATGTTGTCAACATAGACATTAGTAAAGCCTTTGACAAGATTCTGCATGGTGGACTAATTAATAAACCTAGATCACATGGGATTCAGGGTGAGCTTGCAAATTGGATACATAATTGGCTTGATGGTAGGAGACAGAGGATAGTGGTGGAGAGTTGTTCTTCGGACTGTAGGCCTTTGACCAGCGGTGTTCCACAGGGATTAGTGCTGGATCCACTTTTGCTTGTAATTTATATAAACGATTTGGATGGGAATTTAGGAGGCATGGTGAGTAAGTTTGCTGATGACACCAAAATTGGTGGCATAGTTGACAGTGAAGAAGGTTATCTAAGATTACAAAAGGATCTTGATCAATTGGGCCAATGGGCTGAGGAGTGACAGGTGGAGGTTAATTTGGATAAATGCGATGTATTGCATTTTGGTAAAACAAACAAGGGCAGGACTTGTACAGTTAATGGTCAGGCCCTGGGTAGTGTTGCTGAACAGAGAGACCTAAGGGTTCAGGTACATTGTTCTTTGGAAGTTGTGTCACAGGTAGGGTGGTTAAGAAGGCATTTAGCACACTTGCCTTCATTGCACAGATCATTAAGTCTAAGAGTTGGGCATCATGTTTTGGTTGTACAGGACATTGTACACTTTTGGAATACTGTATACAGTTCTGGTCTGGTTTCCTGATATAGGAAAGGTATTATTAAACTGGAGAAGGTTCAGAAAAGATTTACAAGGATGTTGCCAGGAGTGGAAAGGTTGAGTTATGAGGATAGGCTAGGTAGGCTGGGGCATTTTTCACTGGAGCATAAGAGGTTAAGGGGTAATCTTACAGAAGTTTATAAAATCATGAGGGGCGTAGAAAAGCTAAGTAGCAAAGGTCTTTTCCCTAGGATGGGTGAGTTCAAAACTAGGGGCATATTTTTAAGCTGAGAGAATAAAGAGGGGCAACTTTTTCACACAGAGGGTGGTTGATGTGTGGAATGAACTGCCAAAGGAGGTGGTAGATGCAGGTACAGGTACAGGTACAACAGTTAAAAGACATTTGGGTAGGTACGTGAGTAGAAAAGGTCTAGAGGGATATGGGCAAGTGGGACTAGTTTAGTTTCAGGAAATTTGGTTAGCATAGATGAGTTGGACCGAAAGGTTTGTTTCCGTGCCATATGACCCTAATCTGTTACCTTGTTAGCTTCCCCTCCCCCCAAGAATGTCAGACCTTTCCAGGTTGAATTCTATTTGAAACTGCTTTTCCTAGCTATCCTCCTCACTTTATACCACACAGCCAATTTTCATGTCATCCATGAATTTCTTGATAAAATCCTGTACATTTGATTCCAAA